TATTGTCCATTCTAGTTTTTGGAGGTCCTTCTAATCCCACTTTACCAAGGTTCAATATTTTGGAAGTATTTCCTTTATGAACAAAAACAAATTGATAGGATCCATCCTCAACTTTTCAGTTTTTATTGGCTATATGTAAACCCAATTCTTATTGATCACTTAAAACAGTAAATATTTGTTATTGCTAGTTCATTTTTGTAGACAGGCCGGATTTTTTTTTTTTTTTGTTAAACTAGCAACAAATAACAATAATAACTTCTTCTTTTTTTTTTTTGATAAAGAACAATAATAACTTCAAAATAGTAAGATAATTAATGAATAAATCGGTAGTGTAAGAAAGAGGCATGTCAACGAGAAGAGTTCATATTGGTAATTCACCTAACTACAGTGTCGTTAGATGTTCGGTTGTACTAAACACAGCCACACCAACACCACAATCCCTTTTTGTGAGATTTTACCATATTAATCAATATAATTATATTAATTGTTTTTAATCGAATCTTAATTTAAAAATAGTTTGCAGTCATCTGATTGTGATATTTAACTCCTCCTTACATTTTAAGACGTAGGTTCTTTCTAATGGATCATGCTTTGTTATATAAAAAATTATGAATCATTGTTGTCATTACCAATTGATATATTGATATTTGTGATATAAATCCAAAATTTCTTACACACTTCCTATACAAACAAGTTTTGACCCAAAAAAAAAAAAAACAAGTATGCTTTAGTTGAGGTTACTAACTAATAAAATCGATTAGAAAATAATTTAAAACATTATAACAAAAACATATCAACAATAACAATATCTCATCACCCAAAAAATAGTTATTGTCGGACGTATATTTTTCTTAACCACTACAAAATTTATATAACTGTGCAGAATATAAAACCAGCATGAATATTCGTATATGAGATCTTCATTAAGAAAAACATAGTATTAAAAAGGTTTTGAGTTTTGAGTTTCTATGTTTTTGCTTCTACATATATATGTGGAGTTCTTTTTGTTGGAGTAGCTTAGAATCAAACATTATAGCTCACTTTATACCATTGTTTATTTCCAATTAAAAGTAGACTAATACCTATAACTATTAATAGTATTCCAATTAAGATCTTAGCAAACAATTTGAGTTTTCTTTCTACATGGACTATGTGGATTTATTCTTATACACAGAAGCAAGAAAATGTGTTACCTGGTAAACGTTAAACCATTTAACGTTTAACCATTCAACTAATTATTTCATGTGTATGTTCTCGTCTAATTATTACAATAACCATTAAACAAAAAAACTATTGAGAGTGGATCAGTAGAATATGAAAAATAATAAATTTCAAGCAAGCAAATGGAGAACTCCCTAACCACCAAGTCCAAGTCAATGTATAAGACTGCACACCAAATGCATGTCACAGGTTGGACAAAGTTTGATAATTTCTCTCTTCTAATGAATTATATTTTTTCTATTTATTGATTAATTTTAAAAATCAAATTATTAGCTTGATTAAATAGGTTTTGTTGCATATTATTGTATTGGTACACAAACACAATTGTTAATAGATCAAGTAAAGTTAATTGGTTTAACTTTATAATAATAGATAAAATGATCTAGCTAGCTAGGCTAGACTTTTTGTAAACATTCTTACTTTTCACTAAAGCTAAACTTAATTAGTAGGTTTGGTAACATATGTATGATTAAGTCGCCTGAAGACAAGTTCAAAAGGTTTGGAAAATTCTCACTCAAAAATCATTTTAGGCTGTTTACATTATGAGAGAAAAGTACACAAAGAGCACCATTTTTTGTTTCCACTTTTAATTTGGTTATTTAAAAAATTACTTTACCCTTTTAAGATCTTATCATTATTCAATTTCTTGAAAGCTAAGCCTCCAGTTTCCTCAAACCTATCATTATTAAGCTTTCAATTGAATACTAATACATAGACTCACTCTCTCACAATTAAATACTGT